AAAATTCCCTCAGCTTTAAATATACATACTGAAATATTTAGGGGAGAAACGTCATAAAGCCCATAATTTACTTTAAAATATTTTAACAAAAACATTAGATGATGCAAATATGACAAAATGTTTACAATTTTCACACATAAGTAATGGGTATGCAGATGTTCATTATACTATTCTCTCTACATGTCAGTAACTATGAAATTTAGTACAAAACATAAAGTGTGAAACAAAGTCTTCATTTCTTGTAATCAGCTCTCAAGTTGACTTCCTTGCACAATCGTTTCAAAGAAAAATGCCATGCTCAGCTTTTGATTATGGTCACTTTGCTTTTGGCCTCATCCTAGCATAAGAGGCACAACAGTTTATTCAAATAGGTGGAATGACCCAGCAATATAGTCTCCCTTTCCTATCAACCCCTGATGACTCTGATCTTGTGCTTCCCAAACTCATTCAGACCTATGTGGAATGTACAGAACTCATGTTGTCCTGAATGCTCTGCATGAGGAAGAAGGCAGCAGGTGGGGTGCTCCTTAAAAATGCATGTGCAAGAGGCAACTCTTTTTGCCAACTCATTGACTTCAGGTACCTGAAGAACAGATCCCTGGTGTGACCTCCCCCGCCCACTACACAGGACCAGCTTAATGACTGCCCACCACCACAGCATCTTACATTGTCATGTCATTGGAAACCTCCCACTCTTGAATCAGTTGTCTCAAATATGTTAGTCTGGACCCCAAATTTGTGGAGACTTAGAGCCTATGTGCATGTATCCAGAAGCCTTCCAAATACATCCACACTTTCTTGCAATCCTCTCAATTCCTCTAGCATGACCCAGGTAGAGAAGCAAATGCAAAATTACAAAATCTGCCAGAAATCTTAGTTAGAATCTCAAAGTGTTTCTTATGTAATACATAAAATTATGGGAAGTTAAAATTTCAGTGTGAAACAAAAGTTTTATTGGAACACATCCACACTCGTTCATTTACATATTGCCTACATTTGAGCACTACAACAGCAGAGCTGAGTAGCTGTGATAGACCATATGGCCCACAAAGATGAAAATATTTACTGTTTTTTTATAGAAAGTTTGCCAACCCTGTTGCAATGTTTCCTGCTTGTTTATTTTGATAGAGGTATGGCCTTTATTCTTTTTTTAAATTTGATGTTTGTTTATCTTAGTCACATTGCCAAATAAAACATGTAAGGTGAAGAAGCATTTGACTATTATTTGATAAGACATGATTAGTGAAGACAGAAACACTAAATTTAAATAGAGGATAAAATATCCACTCAGAGATCTAAATTATATCACTTAGATTCACTGATGAAATAAATATTTCAAAAGCCTAGCATGACTATTACTTAATCTTGCAGATATCCAATTTGACCACATTAATATTTTAATATTTTATACTGGCATTTAGTAATTAAACCTCACTTAATACACAGGTTAGGAAATCTTATTCTAAATATTGCATTGATATATTTTGTATCAAAAATTAATGAATTGATGTATATATGGTGTGTACAAAATTATACTGATTTTAAATTATAATTGTGTAAAAATAACATACTCATTTAGCAATCATTATCTTGACACAGGGGAGATGACATTTTTTCTTCTTTTTTGTATTTTTCAATTTTTCTATATTTTACATTTTATAATTACCAAGACTTTTCAAATACTTCATTATTTGACCAATTTAAAACAAAATTCCCTTAATTCTCGGGAACTTGTTTTACATCAACTTTCTTCCCCACATGTCCAAAGAGCTATCTGATGTGGAAAGGACTAAACTTGAGGTATAGCGGCTTGAAAATGAAAAACTAAAGGCAAGGCACAACAGCCAAGAATAAAATTAGAGGCAGAACCAACTTTCCACATGAGAAAGTCTGCTTGCTGTTCTTAGTGGGGAGGGGGAAATACACAAAGGCCCTTAAAACGGAACAAAAAAGTCAAATGGTTGAACAAATTAAATAAAACACTACTTAATTGCCCAGTGGAGCACTCTCTCAGGGGCTAAAGTGAGGGAATTATTTTAGCAACTTCCAAAAAAATTACATACTTATATGTTTTTAAAAGCCCCTAAAGTAATATTAGGTAATAGTTTCAGGTCATAATTTCACTTTTCAGGGCAAAACCCAATTGTCAGATAATTTTTTTCTTCATGTTTCCCACCCTACCAACCTCAACCAAGAAGGAAAATTATGAACCTTTTGAGATTTAATGTATTCATAATTTCTTTTTCAAATAGATCAAGAACCTAAGAAAGGCAAATGTGAGAAATTCTTGTAAAACCAACCAATGACTGGAAGAAATTTTTTAATAAAGAAAAGTAGTTAATTCACTGTGAAGGAAAATGCCTAACAATTTACCATCTGTTGGGGTTGTTTAATAATAGCACTTGTGTGACATTAATTGCTATTCTAAATAACATATGGCACAGAGGCAGAAAAGGTAAGCTGCCAAAGAGAATTCTGTATGCTCTGTTATTCCCTGTAGAAAACTGCTAACAGATCACCAACCCAATTTCCTCTTCTTTCTCGGCACACAGTTATCTCATATTTTCCTGTCCCCTTTGTATTTATATGTGCCACGGAGTGACTTCTGGCCAGTGGGATGTGGGTAGAAGTGATATATGCCTCTTCCAAACTTGACTTCTACAACTCTCACACCCGCAACACTCCATTTTTCTCCTGCTGACTGAATGGAGAGGATGCTAAGGACTTAAGACATGGAAGAAGCCATGAGATGGAAATAACCACTGCTGCTTGGAGGAGAGCTGCCTGACCAAGAACTCCCACCTGGACTTTGGCAAGACCATCATTCTGTCCTATACACTCTCCCATTTTTAGGCAGATGTTAACTATGTGCAAATGGCTAAATCTGTTCTGCCTGTAAGCAGATAACTGAAATCACTAGGCCAGTTGCTCTCACTTCAGAATTATCTTGCCAAAGGAGGTCGTTCAAATTCATACCAGGCTTCTCCCAACCTTCAAAAGTACCACTGATGGGAAAATTGTTTTCTTCATTATGTTTAACTCAAGACAGAGGTAGTGGCATCTGCACTAATAATTACCCACTGGTGAAGAAATCTGGTGACACTATGGTTGTTTTGTTATAGTTTGAAATTTTTGGTCCAGATTCAATCTGGTCATTTGCAGAGAAAGTAGGAAAGATCATGCAGATGGCCCTAACATAAGTCTCAAACAATCTTTTACAAAAAAATTTTTCATTTGTGATCCTAGTTCAGGAACAAACATCTTAGGTCGTTTGACACAATCCCTTCTTATTAGGCAAGATGGATCTTCTTGAAGATCCAGGAAACTGACCTTATAATTTAGACATGTCCGGTATTATTTCTGTGGGAATGAAGAGCCAATTAGCATCTGCCACAAACCAATTCCTCAAAGACAACCAGCAATGAGTTTTGACCAATGAGGTTAGACCTGGTCAAATTCTTTTTTTCCTTGAATGAAAGTCATTAATATGAATTAATCCAAGCTGTTCAGTGCTCTGAGTTTTGCTCACTTGAATCTTACTAAACCAAAAAAAAAAAGGG